ATGGAGTCTGATCCCAGCAGCCAAGGACCTGACTGTGATGGGCCTTCGGACCCCAGCTCCCGGGCGAGCCCCCTTGGCGTGGCTGCCCGTGGTGTGGAATTGTATCTTGACAAGGTCCGGCTTGCGTGAGGCAGCAGCTCTGTGTCCCATACAACAACACGCACGTCTCAGCAGACAGCAGCTAAGCTGAACCCTCTCTATCTCTGTATAAATGGGGGGTGAATAGAACGTATTTCATCTTCTATAAAATCATACCTCTAGTGGCAATGAAAGCAGAGAAGAGCACCGGAATGGTCTTGGGCACACGCTCCCGCTGTGCAGGCTCCCACGCAAGTCGAGGAGACCAAAGGGAGGCGGGACACCCCGACGCGCCAGCGGAGCAGGGCTTGGAGTAGCACGGGCAGGACCCCGTCACGCCCGCCCTCCTTAGGGAGGCCGGGTTTCCATGATCCCCGCTGCGAGGAGCCTGACGCTTGTCTTTGTGCGGGCGCCCAGCTAATGACTGGGGATGCGGGATCTAAGATCTGGGTTTCCGGGCTCTCGAGTACTCACTGTGCTTTCCCTTTAAAGTCCAGGACATGCTTCCTGCCCGAATTCCAAGCACTGACGTCCGGCTCTGGCGAAGCCGCTGGGCACGTCTTCATCTGCTCACTGCCCCTCGGCCAGCCGGGTGGAAGGTTTGTAGGGCTCAGTTGCGCAGACCCGTGCGACTGCAGTTAGTCTGGGGACAGAGCGAACGCGGCCCAGGTACTTCTTCGTAAACATTAGGATGCTGGGCGTCATTCGCTGAGCCACGGGGAGCCAAGGTGAAAGGTTTTTGCGTGAGAATGGAAGAGTCTGAGCGTGTCTGAAGCTGGAACGTGTGAAATCACATGAAGCAGGGACAGGGGCTGTCCCGCACGTTGCGAAACGGTGGTGGCAGCCACTAGCCCACGCAGTAGCTACCTAAGTATGGTAGTGGCACTTTGCAAGTGTCCGTTGGATACCACTGCATCAGTCAGAGTGGAGAAACAGGATCAAAGAGATTTATTTCCAGGGATCGGCTCGCATAACTAGTGGGAGCTGGCAAGTCTGAAATGCGTAGGCCACCCCAGCAGGCTGGAAACCCACACAAGATCTGATGCTGTAGTCTTGAGCCAGAATTTCTTCCTCTCCAGAAAAACTCAGCTGTGCTCTTAAAGGCCTTCACCTGATTGGATGATTTCCACTCACATTACCTAGAATCATCTTCTTTACTTAAAGTCAACGGATTGTAGATGTTAACTACATCTATAAAATACTTCCACAGCAATACCTATATTAATGTTTCATTAAATAACTGAGTACTAGAGCCTAGCCAAGTTGACACATAAAACAAACCATCACATCAGCCAAGCAGGAAAAATTGATATTTTGATCAGTTGCTTAAAATTAGAATTAATCTTTTTTTTTTTTGAGACAAAGTCTTGCTCTGTCACCTGGGGTAGAGTGCAGTGGCATCATCATAGCTCACTGCAGCCTCAAACTCCTGGACTCAAGAAATCCTCCTGACTTAGCCTCTGAAGTAGCTGGGACTACAGGCGCTTGCTACTACTCCCGGCTAATTTTTCTGTTTTTAGTAGAGACAGGTCTCCCTCTTACTCAGGCTGGTCTCGAATTCCTGAACTCAAGTGATCCTCCTGCCTCGGCCTGGCAGAGTGCTAGGATTACAGTGTGAACCACCGCGCCTGGCCTAGAATTAATAATTTTATACATAAAGTTTCAAGAACTACCTTCTTACATTTTGGAGATAAAGAGGTGAGTTCTCCCATCATCAACACATTCTTGAGAGCCAGCTTGCTTTTGGGGGTCATCTTCCTCTGTCACTGAAACTAATTTTTTTCCTCAAGATAACCAAAGACCGTAATGAAATACGTATGTTAAAACACATTTTCTACAGAAATTCACTTAATTTTGAATAGCGTTTTGTTTCTATGACTTTGCCCTGATTTATGCAGCTGGTCAGCCTGCAGGCAGCCTTGAAGATGACAGAGAAAGTAAATGTTCCAGGGAAATACTAGTCACTTCCACTTTCTTATGAGTAATTCACTGGAAGTCCTTCATCTTCTTTTTCTCAGTAAAATCATTGCCCTCCCAAATTAAAATCAGATCGATATAACCATGCCACTCCTTTCTTGTCCGCAGCTTAAATGACAATTTACAAGGAAGATTTTCCCTAAAGAGCTTTTCACCACTTTTGCCCTCTTTTGCCTAAAAAGCTGATGACTGTGTTTGCTGGCTCTTGACAAACCTTTATAAGGTAGCTGAGAATAAAAATGATTAAAGGTGTGTTTGGCTTCATTTTGCTGTCAGTATAGGAAATAATTACATCTTGCAGTTGGAGGCAGTGCAATTTGGCAGAGGATAGAAACTTTTACAGGAATAATTGAAGGGCATCATCACCAAAGAGCCTGCAAAGATAAAAAAGACCCACACAATTCTTGGCAGGACTGCTCACTCAGGGAAAGACATTGGAATGATTTATGTGTGGAGATAAAGGGTGGATGCCTGAGCACATTTGCCAAAGAGCTTCTCTGATCACTGCAGACTTCCTGAATTTCCACTCTGAAGGTTAAAGTTTGTGGGACACCATCATTAGAAGGAGAAATAATAAATTAACTTTCACTTACCTATATGACACCTAATGAAGTATGGTCGTAATATATAACCAA